GTGTCCATAGGTTCGTGGATTTACCTCTGGGCTTTCTATTCTGTTCCACTGATCTATATTTCTGTCTTTGTGCCAGTAGCATACTGTCTTGATGACTGTGGCTTTGTAGTAGAGCCTGAAGTCAGGCAGGTTGATTCCTCCAGTTCCATTCTTCTTTCTCAAGATTATTTTGGCTATTCAAGGTTTTTTGTATTTCCATACAAATTGTGAAATTATTTGTTCTAGTTCTGTGAAAAATAATGGTGGATTATTTCAAATTTTCCCCTGAGATCAGGAGTGAGACAAGATGCTTACTATTATCATTTCTATTCAATATTCTGTTAGCGGGCAGTGCAATAAAGCAATGAAATATAAACCCATTTAAAAATATAACTTGAGTTAATAAGCATACAAATGAACAAATTTTCAATTAGAGAAACAGTTCTCTCCTACAATCAAGTAGCATGTCTCTTCCTACATCTTTGGACAGTAGACCATTTACTGTTAGATTTACTGCTGACTTTCAGTTGTTCCTGTAATCCATTTCTAATACCTCAACTTTTCCTATTTATATATTCCATTGTGTACAAAAGCTTCTTTTCCCCCCAAAAAAATGTTTGACAAAATATTGGAATATGTTATTGAATGGTAATTTAAGTGTTAATATTATTTTAGATATTAGTTTAGTATTTCCATCAAAACAAATAAGTGTTGAGTTGGATTACTTTTATTAATGGTACATATACCTGTCAGTTTCAACATGAAGAAATACTGTTATAAATCATCTGGACTTTTTCTTTTGTGAGAATGTTTGCATTGCCAATGCTCTTTTTTTTTTAATATTTTTTTTCCATTTATTTTTATTAGTTGGAGGCTAATTACTTTACAACATTGCAGTGGTTTTTGTCATACATTGAAATGAATTAGCCATGGATTTACATGTATTCCCCATCCTGGTCCCCCCTCCCACCTCCCTCTCCACCCGATCCCTCTGGGTCTTCCCAGTGCACCAGGCCCGAGCACTTGTCTCATGCATCCAGCCTGGGCTGGTGATCTGTTTCACCCTAGATAATATACATGTTTCGCCATTGCTCTTTTTTAAAAGAAAATTTATTGTAGTATAGCTGATTTACTGTGTTGTGTTTCAAGTTTCAAGTGTAGAGAAAAGGAAATCAGTTATACATATATATGCATATATATTTCATATTCTTTCCTATTTAGATTACTATGGAATATTAAGTAAACTTCCTGTGCTATACAGTAGGTCTTTATGAGTTATCTGTTTTATATATAGTAGTATGTATATGTTAATCCCAACCTGATTTATCACATCCCCTCATGTTTTTCCTTTGGTAACCATAAATTTTATTTTGAGATCTATTTCTATTTTGTAAATAAATTCATTTGTATCATTTTTATTAGATTTCACATATAAGGGATATCATATGATATTTGTCTTTCTATTTCTGACTTACTTCACTTAGTATGGTAATCTCTAGGTCTATCCATGTTGCTACAAATGGCGTTATTTAATTCTCTTTTTATGGCTGAGTAATATCCCACCATATATGTACCAAGTCTTCTTTATTATTTCCTCTGGTAATGGTCATTTAGGTTTTTCCATGTCTTGGCTATTGTGAATAGTGCTATAATTGGGGTGCATGTATTATTTTGAATTATAGCTTTCCCTGGATATATACTCAGGGATGGGATTGCTGGGTCAGATGGTAGTTCTGTATTGATCCAAGTAGAGAATAAAGGTATATTAAAGGTACATTTGATTTATTAGAGAAGAAATCCAAAGACTGGTAAAGCTAGTCCAAAGAAAATATGAGAGACTGAGTGTATATAGGAATCTAAGAATGTTGGATTACTGTCACTAGGTTAAGTACACGAATGGTTAATGCCCGACAGGGCAATAAAACCAAAATATCTGGGGATATATTTTCTGCCAGAATGGAAGTTATTTACATCTCTACTGGGGAAAAAAAACCCTATAAATTAATATGTAACTTAGAGTCTGGCCCTGATCAGTAATAAATAGTAAAATTAGACATTTGTGAATTCACCTAGAATTAAGTAATCCTTAGACAGGACTCTTTTAAAAAGCTCCAGAATGACATTGAGAGGACATGAAGTTATTCCTTTGATTTATTTTCCAGTTTTCTTAGCAGTGGTAACATTGCTTTCCAAAGAGACCTCTCTCTCCGACCAGCATCCTTGGAGAAAATTTAGATTCTCCCTCTCTCTCCCTCTGTCTCTCAGAAGATTATTTTTTTCAGATAGTCCCAGATTTTTATGTCATTAACTGTTTTTAATCATAGCACAGCATTTTATCGGTATTATTTAAAATCATATGCTTTTAATATGTCAGATAAATTCTGTAAATAGCTTTTATAAATGAGCTTTCTGTCTAAAGTAATACTGTTAGGAACCATCCTGAATTTCCTGTTTTATGAGAATCCTCTCGTACATATGTTGCACGGATGTGATGTGAAGTTTCCCTGTACTGACGTTTTGCTCACGCTCTGAATTGTTTTTCGCTTTTTTTTCCTGGAGGGTGTTGTTCACATGGATGTGAGATCGGTGATGTGATTGTAATGAGTTTGTTGAATCCTCTATTTTGCTACCTTCTGGCTTTCGGGCCCCCTTTTAAGGGTAGCCGCCCCCCTCCTAAGTTCTCCTTCTGAGAGCTGAGTTACTGACTGCCCCTGGGGTTTCTCAGCAACCTCAGAGCTTCCTTTCAGGACAGTGAAGGAAAGACTGCGTTCGGAGAATGTCCAGCCATCTTAATATTAAACACAATAGTAGAACTTGTCCCCCTATTTTATGGGGACAAGTTTAGGACTTTAAGTCTGGCAAGAGTAAGAAGATTATTGCTTACCCTCTGCTTTAGCCTCAGGTTTCTAGACCTCAGAACTGAGCTTCCCAACTACCTTAACTAAAGTGACCCCAGGCTTCTTTTGGTCTTGACCAGAATGCCTCTGACAGTATGTGATGGTTTATGAATGTACTTTTTCACATGCTGCTGTCTGTCTTCACTGAATGTAACTTCCGTGAGGACAAGGACCATGTTGGTGTCGGCCCATCTTTTTATCACAGGGCCTCAATCTATCACATCTATCACAGGCCTCAAACTAGATGGCCTAAATATGTGTTTATTTAATGAATGGGTCCAATTACATAGTGTGATACCTGTGAATTAAGAACATAATAGGTCAGGGCAAGAGAAAATGGCAAGTGGCTTCCATTTAAGAGAAATAGTATACCGTTGCCTTAGGCATCAGTAGTCTAATATGTTTCTCACTATCCCATTTTGCTGATGGACATATTCCTGGCACAAAGCTTTTGGTGCAATGAAAGGCTAATATGACCATTATAATGGAATAACTATAGTGAAGAAGAGGGGGAAAAAGAAATAGAAGGCTGAAGTATCCCAGGCTAGTCCCTCATTGGAGAAAAAAAAATCTTTTGGTAGCTAATTCCAAAGATAGACTTTATCTGAAATAAAATCATTATAATGATGGTTGCCTTTAAGCGATGCATTAACTCAGAGATAACTGCATTGCTCCAAATGTGTCAGCATTTAAGGTCTGTCTTACTGGAATTTTTCTTAATTTATTGTAATCTAATAATCATAGGACACATTATTTGTATTTGACACAGAGTTATGTTTGTGTCATGCACATTCATTCAGCTATATAACAAGGAATAATTGTTCGGTTAACATTATTCTTTCTACAGAATGCAATGTTTATTCATGTGCACTTGGTGAATGAATTCTTTATAAGCACATTAACAAGATGTGGAAAAATCAAACCTCTGAATTTCCAAAAGATAGCTGCATAAAATAGTTGAAAAAAATTTTGGGTGGTGGTGAATATAAATGGTTCACATTAAATATGATGGATAATCTGAATGAAATGCATATTTGAGCATACAAGTTGATGTAATAATTTTGTCGAATGAAACAAGATGAGTAAACTGTAATGTCATTCTGTTGACTGGGAGAAGTCACCTAACCAGTTGAAAAATAGCTTCCTATTTTATTGGGCTTCCCTAACCTCTTCATTTATTACATAAATGCACTCTCAAGGGTAATTGCTTTTTTAAAAAAAATCTTTGATTTGTGAAATGTAGGAAATGCTACTAGGCTTTCTGAGTATTATCAGCTCTTTTTTGTGTCTCTTGCTCAGGGTGCAACTGATTTTGACAGATGTACTGTTATGTTACTGGTATAACATGACATCTTTTTTCAGATGAACTGAATAAAAGTGATCTTGACAATGAGTAGATAAGACACTGTCAGAAAGCTGAAAAAACCTGTCAATGTCACAGTTATGACACAAACACGGCAGAACAGCCCTTATAATGTCATTAAGTGAATATCTTTCAAGCAACACCCTTGAGAAGACAGAAAATAGCATTGCTCTTAAATACTATTATTTATCCACAAAAATAATAAAATATAACACAAAGGTCAGTTGAATATATATTTGGGGTGGCATTTGATGAGTCTGATGTATGTGTATGTATTTATATGTGGATCTCTTTTATATATGACATATGAAAGAATTTTGAGATTTCAAAAGTATAAAAAGACTTCTGCTTTTTCAGAGACTAAAAAACAATTTAACTCCAGCATTTAAGAAAGTCACTGAAAATGTTGATCATGAAATATGCAAAGTGGTTTTATCAGTATTAATTATAACCTTTTCCTTGGTGTTTTTATGGGTTAAGAAACAATCTTTAATAATATAAGAGAAATTAGGCATACATTTCAAGATGTATTTCTAGATCATGAATTTTGTAAATAGGTGAGTAAAGCCTGAAATGGAATCAATCCCAGGTGTCAAGAAGGAACTAGACGTTTGGTGGTTTTATTTTCCATTATTATAATTGACTTGGAGCTGAACTATACATGTATGGGTATATGTATAATCCTCTCATAGATGTAGTTTTTAAATACTTTAATGAAAAGCATATTTGTCCTTAGATCAACTTTTAATATCTTTGTCTAGGATCAGAGGTGGTTGATCTTGATGGAAAAAGTTGCCTTCTCTACAGACTTGATAAAAAATCTCTGAGCCCGATAAAGGATGTAATTTCTTTGAAATTTAAAACCATGCAGAGTGATGGGATTCTACTCCACCGGGAAGGGCAAAATGGAGATCACATCACACTGGAATTAAGAAGAGGAAAACTCTTTTTGCTTATTAATTCAGGTAAAACTCTTTGGGTAAAGTGCTTGAAAATCTGGTCATTTAGCTATCACTTTAGTAACTTTATGCTTTTACAACTCATCTTTTTTAACAATTAAGGTATCTTATTTCCACATTCAAGGGTATGTATGTATGTATATATATATATACACATATATATATACATACATACATATATATATATATACACACACACACACATATATATATATATATATGCCAGTATTGCACTTTCATGTAATTTGCAAACTATTCAGGACCTTCATTTGATGTTTCTTACACAGTGCTGATAGAACCACTCAGTTATTTTCAAACATCTTGATGGCAGGGATGGGTCACTGAAAAATACTGAGGTAGTGAAAATACTAAGTTTGTAGCAAAGATGAAATGTTCATTGCGAATGAACATGTGATGATGGGTAGTACTAATAAAGAGAGTTAAGAGTGGAAGAAATGAGAGCAGGTTGAGAGGATATCGCACTCACAGGCGAGGTAAATTCAGACTAGCGTTTGGCTGGGGTGATGGGGGGAGACTGCGGCTGCTAGGGGAGACTGGCCCTTGCAAGCCGGGAGTCACGGCTCTGCTGCTGTCTCTCCCCTCAGGTGGCGCGGAGCCCGCGGCTGGCGCCCCGGCCGGGCTCGGCCTGGGCAGCCTGCTGGACGACCAGCAGTGGCACTCCGCGCTCATCCAGCGCTGGGGCACAGAGGTCAACTTCACAGTGGACGAGCACAGGCGTCGCTTCCGCGCCCGGGGCGAGCTCAGCGACCTGCGTCTCGGTCATGAGGTGTGATGGTTACGTTTCAGTTCATGCAGACTCCGTGACGTCTCGGTGGTGAGGTCACACGGAAGGCAGCGGGCTCTAGAAAACCCACCTCCAGAGTCAGGCAAGGTCCTGAGGAAGTGTCCCTCTAGGTAACCTCCCTCAAGCAGTGAATTTTGTGCCTGTAGTGCTGAGGCTTCATTTTGCCCCTCACATGTTACTTTATCGTTGTAAAGAAATGTCATCTTTTTTGCCTGCAGTGTGTATGCAGGAAATCTCCGCGAAGAGATCTCATTACCACAAGTAAATATAGAATGTGTTGCATGATTTTGGAGGTGGGGGGACAAAGAGCACTCCTGAACAGTGCAGATTTAGGGAAAGAATGTAGCAACGAATAGGTTAACTGATTCATCAATAACCAATTCAAATGCACAAAAATCAATATATTCCAGAAATGTATACAAAATAAAATGTCATTATAATTGGTTACATTGTTAAAGCCAGTCACTATGGAAAAAAAGATGTATTTTTCTTCAACAACCAATAAATATTCAAATCAGGTTTGATTAGAAACTTGTAAGAATAATCAAGCTCTTTATAAGTGAACACTGAATGCATATAAACATTTTAAAATCTGCATCTTAATTTTTTTTAAATCTTCATGTGAAATTAGCAATATGGCAGTGTAGAGTACTGAAAAATTGATCTATCTGTGATGATTACAGCTATAGTTGCTAATCATAATTATTTAAGCAGATTATCAGAAAATCACTAAACAATATTATTGATGCCATTTTTCTTTCTAAGATCAGCTTTGGAGGGATTCCAGCACCTGGAAAATCAGTGTCATTCCCCCATAAACACTTTCATGGGTGTTTAGAAAATCTCTTTTACAATGGAGTGGATATCATTGATTTGGCCAAGCGACAAGACCCACAGATGATCGTTATGGTAAGATAGTCTTCATGTTAACAAAAAAGGAAAACTGTGTGGCTTTTCCCCCCACCCCCCAAAAAATGCTTCATTTTGAATTCCCACTTGACGTGGTGTTTTAGACCTTACTCTTGTTCTTTAAAAAAAAATTCTCAGTTCTCAGCTTGGCAATATGCATGTACAGGATTAATTCTATGCAAAACATTTAAAATTCACAGGTCATGATTATTTTATTTTTATATGAAGTAAAGAACGTTCTTTTCTTGGTACAACTGATCATTTTATTTTGTTGTAATATTATTGGTCCCAGGAGACTAATTTCTTTTGCTTTGTAATTTCCTTAATAAGATACTCCCTGACTTACTCTCCGAAGCAGCATACTGGTTTCCTGGAATCAGATAACATGCACGTATATTAGAGAAGTGGTTGAAAAATTTGTATTTTGCCACGGTCATTCATAACTAATAAAAGAAACTAATAGACTCTCACAGGATTGCATCTGCCAAGAGCAGTGCTGGTCAGGCTGCATGATGTTCTGATTCTGTGGAAATGTGGTGGAATTTAAATACAACTGTGTTGGTCAGGGTGCAGGCAGAGAGGCAGTACCGTTGTGTGTTTAGGGACAAGGGATCTGTTTTAGGACTTGGATTGTAACAGCTGGAGGTCAGCTGTCTGGAAGAAGAGATGGAACAGAGCAGAGTGAGAGGCAGGACACGCTGGGATAGTCACCAGCCCCTCTGTTGTCATCCTTCCCTGGACTTCATCACACACAGAAAACCTTTTGGGGAAAGTGGCCCACCTTTCACTTCTGACTCAGGTGTCCTCAGCTCCCTCTTTGGCTAACTTTTAACTGGACCGAGACAAAAAAAGAGATTCTGGGAAACGTGGTTTCCAGCTTAACCCGCTTGCTGATAGAAAAGCAGACCCTTCCAACCATTTGAATACATTTCTTTAATTGTTCAAAATTCAGAATAAATAATAAAGCTCATGTTGTGTCAGTAAAACCCAGAGCACATCACGGGATTATTTATTGCTTATAAAACATTTTATTTTTAATTCTCTGTGTGAATTGATAGTGTTTATATGAGCACACCATCCAGCAAGATATTTTAAATAGTTTTTTTTTATATAAAAGGGAAAGGATTTAGATGGAAAATAAAACTATTGCAGAGAGATAGCTGTGAGTGTTTCATTGCAAAATGACTTTCCAGAAGCTGCTCATGTAGCTAACACCGGCTCTTCATTGCCAAGAGGATTTGCTCCTTGCAGAGTAGCTAGCAGACAGCTGTCCAAATGCAGGTGGTAAATGTTTCCATTTTTACCAGGTTTGTTAGTCTTATAATTGCCTTTACATTATGGGTCAGTATATTTCACTCTTCAGCTTTTGATGTTTCATTCACTGGGATATTTGTCTGCAGTGAAAGGTAGTTCACTTTTAACAGAATCACAATATAGCCAAATGTTTTTGTTTAACCTAGACCAGTAGTTTAATTCCAGCTTGTATTGTTCTAAATAAAGTGATTTCATTGACTTTTCAAATCTATATTTAGAAGGTTTGTTGAAGGTTATTTTCAGGAAAAATAAAAACATTTATCTTGATTTCTGAAGCCTGTTAAGGAACATGCTAATTATTTCTAAATAGTTTAGACCTTAACATTTTTTCTTAATCCTTAAATATGTATTTAGTACTAATAGCAAAATAATCTTTCATGTACAATATCTTAATGAAAATTTGCAATTCTAATGTATCTTGAAGATCTATTTAAAAACCATTAGATAAGAAATAATACATGTAAATCTGATGACAAGAGCATAATGATAAGAAAAAAAAAAACCCAATGGTTCAAAATAAGGATGTAAGTAGTACATTGTACATTGTATTGTGCAATGTTAAACCTAAAAAAAAAAAAAGGAAAAATAAGCAGAGGATGAAAGTGAGGCCAAAGAGCAACAAACCCATGAAAAAGGCTTAGATTCTTTATTAGGTGAATGCAAGATAAATAACAATGATACATCACATGGGCATTTTGTCCTGGAATTTATGCAAATTTAAAAGAAATATAATACCTATTGCTGCCAAGGATGTGGGGAAAAGTGTGTCTTTGTGTACTACTGTTGGATATGTGGAGAATTTAACTTTTTTTGGAGTTCAAGAAAGAAACTGGAAATATTTATTAAAATATGTAGATACACTAGCTCTGAATTTAGAATTGTCTTCTGAAGAACTGAAAATACATAGAGAAGCTTATTCATGCTTTGTTGAGAGAGGCAAAAGTTTGAAACAAAGTGACAACATACTAGTGGAAGTGAAAGTGTCAGTTGCTCAGTCATGTCCCAACTCTTTGCAATCTGATGGACTGTAATTCACCAGGCTCCTCTGCCCTGGAATTCTCCAGGCAAGAATACTGGAGTGGGTAGCTGTCCCTTCTCCAGGGGATCTTCCCAACCCAGGGAATCAAACCTACGTCTCCTGCTTTGCAGGCAGATTCTTCACCACTGAGCCACTGAGAAAACCCCTTGATAAGAAAACAATTGACTGAAAAATTGACCATTCACATAGTAGAATATTGCCTAATCAATAAAAGTAGGAATTAGGCTTTTACCAGATGACTCAAAGGGATTTCCATAAGGTATTTGTTAATGATAAAATCATGGTACAGTAAACAGCACAAAACATGGCTCCCATTTTTATAAAACAAATAATGTCTAGTGTGTTGGTATATGTATTCCAAATATATATTTAGGTGTTTGTGAATATACATATAACTGAATACATACCTTAAATATGTATACACACATATATGTGTGTATATATTAATATATATTTGTATATGTCAATGGTAACAGAAAATGATGAAAGAGTGTGGAAGGGGAACCAGTAGCTCAATAATATTGGTTATGTTATGGAGTGGCTTTGAAGCCAAAGGCAGCAAAAGTAGGAAGGGAAAACCAAGTAAGACATAAATAAAGAATTATTTTAAATAAATTTTGATTGAATTCAATTGCATTGAGTTAGATGCCTTGGTGAAATGTGAGAAACGGGAAGAAGGCGATTGCACCCAGCAAGCCCAGGGAGAGACCTGCCTGCCTGTGTATCACTGGATGTGAAGACCCTTTAAGATATATGGCGAGGATTCCATTTGTATGCTGGTAGCAGTTTTCCATGCTGTTTTAAACCAGGGGTGATTAGATGGTTCAGATTCTATTGCTAATGTGATGTGTCATTCTGAAAGCTTTCCCTTTTCCTCTCTTCTCAGGGAAATGTGTCGTTTTCTTGCTCACAACCGCAGTCTGTGCCTGTGACTTTTCTGAGCCCCAGGAGTTACTTGGCACTGCCGGGCTCTTTCGCGGAGGACGAGATTTCTGCCACTTTTCAATTTCGAACCTGGAATAAGGCTGGGCTCCTGTTATTCACGGAGCTTCAGCTGGTTTCAGGGGGTCTTCTCCTCTTTCTTAATGATGGAAAACTTAAGCTGCATCTCTACCATCCAGGAAAATTACCCAGTGACATCACAGCAGGTAATAAGTGTATTCCTGCAGGCAAAGCATATGGATTTGAAAAATTTCATTATCTCTCTGTTCCTTCTCTGTAAAATTTTATGCTTAACCCCCAAATTAATATTTGTTTAACAAATGAATACTTGAGTTAATAAGATTATCTCTTTCTTAGAGGAACTGGATTCCAATTTTCTTTTAAATATGGCTCCAGCACTAGCAGTTCTTATTAACCAAAATGATAGTTGTAGGGGAATAGAAATTTCCTTCCATGACTCTCTTGCCCACTCCAGATAAATCAGTGTATTCTGAGGAAATGCATTTTGAGAAAAATATGAAAGACTTGAAATGGATCCCAAGTTTGCTGGGTGTCTTCAATGGATGATGAGTCTTTGTGTAACACAGTTATAAGACTTATCTGGTCTTTGAGAGATGGGGAGGGGTCTTTTTGGGATTGGTATCTCTGTATTATTTAGTCAGATTAGCTTTGCTTGCTGCTGTAATCTGTGTGGAGTTGCATATATTTGGGGAAAAGATTTACGTGAAGTTTCTCATTTGGGAACCAAATGGAATTCTCTGCGCTTCTAGGCAATACGGTACCATTTTAATGGTTAGAAGTAATATAATTAAGGAGACTCTATGAGAGTCTGGAAAATTAATGTCTAATTTAGGTCAGTGCTTTGGGTGAGGGATATTTTTGTCTCTTCATTAAAATTATATAGTTCTTGACAAAGGATCTCCATCAAATTTTCATATATATGGAATAATACCCAAGCCAAGCAACTAGAGGTCACATTGGGGTAAATTGCTATATCAGTTTAATAAATGATCTTTAAAAACAATTTAAAGATGCCATTGTACTACTCATCTATATTAACTGCGACCAAAATTAATAGAATATGAGTGGGAGAGGAAAAAAAGTTAAAATACAGTCGGAAACCAAATATAAGAAGCAAGTAGTATACAAATGAATATGCTGGGTCTTTGTGTTTCTTTTTTTGTTGTTCGTATACCACAGTAGTTTGAATGCGGGAACTGAAACTTCAATATCAATTATAATTTTTAAGAAGTACTGTGCTGTGACTTTTTAATGTAATACTCAAATTGTGGTAGATTTGCAGGCTTGACAAAAGGAAATAAATTAATCAGTGTCATATTAATAATTAATAGGCTTCCTAAAATGAGGGCCTAAAAATATAAGCTTGCCATTAATGTGTAGTTTATTCTGATGTATTTGACATCCTCTGGGGTGGTTGTATTCATGGCCTAATTTTCAGCATCTTAGAGAAGCTGCTTCAGTGCAGTGTTATTGTACAGAGCCCCATGAAGCTAGTTCATTTCTAAACACTTTACAGGCTTGCAAATTTAATAAACTACTAGGTGTAAATCTATCTAGACCACCTCGAATGATTTTAAAAATTAATGTTTCAATCTGTGTGCAATCTTACCATCTATTATGACATCATATGACTTAGTGCTCATAGCTAATAATAAGGATCCTTGGCAAAATATGAATGTTAATATAGTAAAATTGTTATACTTCAGATAACAAAGTAGGACTTGACACATCAAATCCCCCATTCCCATCTTTCTAGTTTTTTTCAAAATATTAATTTTTGCTAGTTTCAGCAAGAAAAGTGCATTTTGCATTTGAAAGTGGACTTTAAATGGTCTGGGTGTGTGGCCCATTTGTTTCTCTCATAGAGAAGACTTTCACAGGTACAGTGTTTGATAATTAAAACAGTTGTCAGGATGTATCATAATGACTCTGAAGAGAGTCGATGACCTGGTGGGTTAGTATCACATTATACTAAATCATTCTATTATATAAGGATGGCTCAGTTTTTCTTTACTACTGGAGGTATAAATTATTAATCTTACATATTTTCAAAACGCAAAGTTTTTAATGTCTTTTACAATGGAATAAAAATGTAAGTTGTATTGAGGAAGAATGGAATTGTGCAGATGTTTGAATTATCAGGCTAAATTTGTAATGTGATGTAGAGTTTTGCAAATCATTATTTGGAATGGTTCAAAAATATTATTTCAGTTTATGTCATTTCTGATATATTAAAGATATTGTATTAGTCTAAATCATAAAACACATTAGCAGCCCTACAAAATCACCTGTGACACCAGTCTTTGTCACCTTTTACATGGCAGAGCAAAAATCATTCAGGTCAAGAATCTAACGAACAATATGGTTGTATTTTCCTAGTTAAACAAATTCTTGACTATCAAATTTGAGATTTTTGCTATGAGTTTCACATTTATGCTATTGTTTTTGTCTAAAGGTGAAAATCAGGCTTGAAAACAAGCTTCTTGCTCCCATGGGCAGGGCCTGGCAGATGACGGTTCTGCATGTTTCCGTTATTGAGCTTTCTGGTTCTTGTGACCCTGACAGAGGGGCTATGCTCTTGATTCGCTTCACCCAGGAGAAGCCATTTTTAAAGTTCTTTCTTTTCATTGATGGCATATTCCTGTCTTTCACATTAGAACCTCATCACTCCCTGAAAGTCCTGCTTCCCCCTAACATGATTGACAGCTGTGACCTCCATATTTTCTTCTTGGCAAGAGCTATCTGGTGTCATGGACCTTTAATTCTGGTTAGTAGATATAGTTAGTGGGGATAAGAATGTCTGGCACAGTTTCGGAGCACTGAAAGTTATTTGGAACAGGCAAACCCTTTAGTTGCTCCTTGAGTAATGGCCTTTGTATAACTGCCTTTTGCTCTTTTGCAAAGAACCTACCTATACAGCAGACTTTTTTTTTTTTCTGCTTTACACATCCTATTCCATGGATGCTTGTTATAATCTTATGGGAGAGTGATGGTAGCTAAAGTGTCATAATATTTCTGTAGGTGGTTTTAAGACTGGTCCCTGAAGATTATATAGGAGGAACTGAGAGAAACCTTTTTCTTCCTCCTGTATTTTGTATGTCTGTGTGTTTTGGGTCTGAGAGAGAGATAGAAGGAGAGAGAGAGAAGAGGAGGAGGGGAAGAAGGGGAGAGGGGAGAAAGTTCTTATAAACAGTCCCACCTTCTCCTGCCACCTGCAGTTGCAAACCTTTCCATTTATTCTTCTATTCTTCCAGCTGGACTTGTCGGTGGTTTCCACCCAGAGACCACAGTGATCACCCTTACTGTTGAACAGGTTGGGTTTGCTGCGTATTGCAACAAGGAGGACCCTTACCCAGGGAACCGTGGGGAGTCTTATCACAAAGGTGTTAAGGACGACTTGGCATAGAATTTTGGATTATGTTAGCTGATTTGGAGGAAGGTTTCAAGGGAATGGAAAATTGGTGGAGATTAAATGCTGCCAGGAGGTGAGGGAATTTGTGTGGTTAAATATCTTTGTAAATTTTATTTTGAAGAATGGAGGCATGAAATAAAGCTAAAATTGTAATTGATTTCAAAAGTCAGTTGTCATTCATGTTGTCCGGGAGAGGATTTGATATTTTTGGTAGTTTGCACAGTAGCCTTGCTTTTGTCTGTGCTTAAACAGATTGTAGAGTAGTTTTGAAGGGATTCTGGATCCCATTTCATTGTAGTAACCTTGTCTGAGTGACCTGGTCTGATCTCAGTGTTCTGTGAGCTTGTTTATGCTCCGCAGGAGAACCCTACAGCTAAGCTCTGGGTGCTCTCCCGTGTCTCCCACCATCAGGGCCCCCCTGAGAGCATCAGCCACTAGCCCCAGGCTCTTGGGGGCTGCTTTTCTCTTTCTCAAAGTTAATTAATTGTTTAACATGAGCCAAATAGCAAGGTCACCACCCATTCTGCAGGCTGAGAAGCATGTGGATTGTGGCATCAGCTCACCAGTTGGATGTGTCCTTGGGTGATTTGTTAATCCTCTTGTGCTTCATGGTCTCCATGTTTGAAACGAGAATAACAGTAGTAATGTTGAAGATTAAATGACATGATGCATATAAAGCACACAGCACCTGGTGTGAATAACAGTCACTAGAACTGTTGTTATTATTTTTATTATTATTCCACCAACACGTATTCCTTCCCCTACAGTCAAAAGTTGTGAGTGTTGGGAGCAGTATACTAGAATGAGCGTTTAGTTACCTGAAACGGTGAATTGGAAAAAATACATATTCTGCAATTCCACCTTTTCCTTCCCCTCTTTCAGTGTGTTGTGGCCTTGGAAAAGGGCTCACTTCTCTTCAGATATTAAAGTTGTAGACTTAAAAGAAAAATAGTATCCAATTTAAAAATTATCCTTTTTATCAAGTGGAGTTAAGTGAAACGAATTGCACAGTCATTCATTGTTTAACTTGAGTAATACTTCCCTTCAATGGGTCATAAAAGTTTCCTCATCGTAAGCAAGTGATGTCTGTTACAAATGAGGCTCAAGAATAGTTTTCTGAAGGTTCCCTCACAAACACAGCACAACTCCGGAACCCACACGCTGAGCAGATGGGTGCATGTAACTGTGTCAAATTCAGAGCGGCCATCCTGGCAGACTCGTGTTCTTAATCTAAGTTAGCTTCTGTGTTGACAGAAGATCCCCCGAGCCTTTGACTTTACTCTGCTGGCCCTACCCAGCAGCCCCTCGGAACAAAGTTGCTCAGAGTGTGCCCCCTGGAACTTACTGGTTCAGCAAAATACTTGTTCCCAAGATAAGTACAGAAATTGGGAGTAAGCTCCTAGAAGCTGTTACAGCAAGAAGGCATCATTGCAACATCTAAGCATATGGTCAGTGGGCTTGTGTTTTAGATGCCTTCTTTCTTTAATGTTTTTGTCATTCGTTTTTACTGAATTTTATGAAAGTTATCAGTTTGCAGTAGATTGGAAGAGAAAATGTCCCTCACCAGAGGTGGCTTGATAAGCGTCATCCCAGGCCAGTGGAAAGCTATGATGAGAAAACAGAAGCCAAGTAGTGTACGCAGGCACATCCGAGCTTTGAGAAAGAGATGGTGGGAAACCCATGGCAGGGTAAGGAGGGTGGGAAGTTTTTATCCGTGTGACGTAAAGATCAGTACAAGGATTTTCACTCTAAATGTATCCTCTTAAAGGAAGCACAGGATGACAAATTTGGGGCATTTGATTTATTTTAGTCCAATCTCATAGCGTCAGAGATTATATAACTCTATTCAGTCTCCTATTTCAGAGTCCACTCTTAGAAAATATGTCCAAAATTATCTAGCCTACATCCTTCATTTTTCAGTTTTTAGGTCTTTCTCATTATCTTTCACAAACCAAATCAAAGTTGGGTCTTTGGAAATCTTTTTTTGGTTCATGGGTATAATGTAAAAGTAAGCTTTGGTGCCCAGGGTGGAGTTTGTGCTATGCTAAATGAGCCCAGGGCAAAGAGCTTCATCATCTAAAGCGGCTTCCATGCATTTTCTGTCTGAAAGCTTGTGGTCAGAAATAGCTGGGGAAATAAAGAAATGCACAAAATATCAGAAAAGAGGCCCGTGACTTTTAGGTTTAATAGAGTACTTATATTTTTATTTAGTAATTTGATCTGCAAAATCATACAGAGTTGAATATTAGGTGGACATAAACCTTACTGATTTATCTACAACAGAGAGACTTAGATTGCACCAGTTTGCTGAGTATTCAAAACAGAACCCTATAAACTTAATTCCCTTTAAGAGGAAAAGGCTCCACAGCCTCCTTGATTCATGACACAGGGACCACCTTTGGAGGTTCTGGAGACTGTTTTTATAGGTGATAAGGAAACCTTGATTTTTTTACTGTAGCAATTTTTACTATGTATATAAACTTGGAAAATACAGAAAAATTACAGCTAGGAATAAAAACAACCACGATTTTCTTGTATGTGAATATTAATGCTTGTGTGCATTTCCTTTCAGCCCTTTCCCATATTTATAGAAAATCAGGAATATAATTAGAATTGTATATATGGAGTTAATTCTCATTACTTGCAGTAGTTGCGTCCTATGAAGTTGTTGTGGACATGGAATTAATAAATACTAAACCATTGTTTCCAGGGGATTTACAGGCTTAGGTTCTTGCGAGCCTCTAGTGACAACATTTTTGTCCACCAATCAACACAACCTCGTATGTATGATTGTGTTTGAAGACACCTTCTTTAATGTTTATTGTTAATTACCAGCATTGAACTCATGGCCAACATTAACTCATGCCTGAAAGAAGCTTACCTCTTACATGTATTTTTCTCTGTAAGGCAGATCATTGCCTTCTTGCACCTCGGAATGCTAGACAACACTTTATCACTGTGTGAGGGGGCCTTTTAAACAGCAAAGTCACTAACAGAAAGCACAAAAATGTGAAGACAGGTTTCCATAGGAGAGCTGAAGCGAGAAGCTTTGCCTTGCTTGTCCTCAGCTGGAAACTTGCAAGTCAGTTGACTTGAATTTTTCTCCGCTCTGTGTATTTCTGCGACTGACCCCAAAAGTGCCCCGAGTATTGATTTGGAGGCTACCAATATAGTGTGGCAAGTAGTTGAATTTGCAAATACAAAATCTGTAAATTATGATCAACTTTATGAATATGGTTTTACACACTGCTTTTTAAACTTTCCATTATACTAGTAAATTTTCAGCATTAATTATAATCTCTTTAAATACTTCTATAATGATTGACGATATACTTTGCTAAATATTCTAGACTCATAAAAGATGACTACACCAAAGTGTAAAAGAGCAGATAAATCATTTTATTAGGTATAACCTAGAATTTTGGAAAATATCTGTGCTCTTCCCAAGCCACTACTTTTAAAAGGTTAATTACATGATGAAAGCTGAAAATTAGCCCATGCCAAATAATTGAAAGGTTTTCACCATTCAGGATTGTCCAAACTTGAATTAGAATTTTGTTCTCTCTACTGATGCCCCAAGACATGAAGATAATCATGCACTATTTCCATGTATTTCAATATTCCAATTATTTCAATAACCTCAGATAGGCAGATGACACCACCCTTATGGAAGAAAGTGAAGAGGAATTAAAGAGCCTCTTGGTGAAAGTGAAAGAGGAGAGTGAAAAAGCTGGCTTAAAACTCAGCATTCAAAAAACCAAGATCATGGTATCTGGTCCCAGTCACTTCATGGCAAATAGATGGGGAAACAATGGAAACAGTGACAGACTTTATTTCCTTGAGCTCCAAAATCACTGCAGATGGTGACTGCAGCCTTGAAATTAAAAGATGCTTGCTCCTTGGAAGAAAAGCTATGGCAAACCTAGACAATATATTAAAAAGCAGAGACATTACTTTGCCAACCAAGGTCCATCTAGTCAAAGATATGGTTTTTCCAGTAGTCATATATGGATGTGGACCATAAAGAAAGCTGAGTGCTGAAGAATTGATGCTTTTGAACTGTGATGTTGGAGAAGACTCTTGAGAGTCCCTTGGACTGCAAGGAGGTCCAACCAGTCAAACCTTAAGGAAATAAATCCTGAATATTCATTGGAAAGACTGATGCTTAAGCTGAAGCTCCAATACTTTGACCACCTGATGCAAAGAGCTGACTCATTAGAAAAGCCTCTGATACTGGGAAAGATTGAAGGCAGGAGGAGAAGGGATGACAGAGGATGATATGGTTGGCTGACATCACTGACTCAATGGGCATGAGTTTGAGCAAGCTCCAGGAGATGGTGAAGGACAGGGAAGCCTGGCGTGCTGTAGTCACAAAGAGTCGGACACAACTGAGCGACTAACAACAATGTAGAGGGTGCTGATTGCCCACCAATCTCCCACCCCTCTCTTGCTTCTTGTTTTCTTTCGTTAAGAGTTGTTAGAGTGCTGTACTTGACTGAGTGATGTGTACCTTGCCATTTCTAACCAACTGCTTACAGTGTTGACTGTTAAGAGATATCTCTTTTAACTGATTCTGTCTCCTCCAGGTGTTGGATTAAATGATGGACAGTGGCATTCCGTCTCCTTATCTGCCGAAAGGAATTACCTGAGTGTGATGGTCGATGGCCAAGTGGCTTCTGCATCCCCCTCCCAGGGCCCTGAGCAGATTTACTCAGGGGGCACCTTTTATATTGGAGGTGAGAGCAGCAGTCACTGCATATGGGCAGTTGAGTCATGTTCACAGTTACTACCCCTGTATCTTGAAGTCAGCATGTTTTAACCAATGTCAGCGTTATGGAATCATTTTTCACTTTCTTTGAAGATGGAAATGTTGAGTGGATCATGATGATAAATCATGACATAAAATGTATTTCTTTGAGGTGGACTGACTTAGGCTTATGATTTCTGTAATGAGATTGCTTGCAAGTAGACCATGCTCTTCAGTTCTTACTTTTAAATTTTGTTATGTTTTCCTAATGTTGAATGGACCTTACATGTGTATCTTTTTCAGATTTTATGGGCTCATTTCATTGTGGTGTTTTCCTGTTCATGCCTCTTAGCTTTTCTAGAGCATCCTTATTGCTTTTCTACTGCTCAATGCAGGTCAATATTATGCCAATGTACAAATAATCTAACTTAATTAGCCACAGAAGCCTCTTCTCATTGCTAAATAATAATGCACTGATGCATTTGATAGAATTAGGGCACCAGCCTTCAACCCCAGGACATCTCTCTAAAAGAACAAAAAGTGTTTACTTGCCTAGTGGATGTTTGATTAAACTAAAAAGCTTCAAAAAGCAACCTTTGAAAGTGGAAATGAATCTCTATCACTGCAAAATTAAAATAAGACAATATTTGACATTAATTAGAAATGGATCCGCTGGTAAAGAATCTATCTGCAAGACAGGTTCTTAGGAGATGCAGGTTCCATTCCTGGGCCAGGAAGATCACCTGGGGGGAGGAAATGGCAACCTACTCTGGTATTCTTGCCTAAAAAAGCCCATGGACAGAGGATCCAATCCCATGGACTGGTGGGCTACAATCCAAAGGGCCCCAAGAAGGTGGAGACAGCTGAGCACAGAGCAGCACCCACAGAAGGCAAGGCTGTAGAAATCATGGTCATAACTTATGGTTTCTTCTTTTTGCTATTTTGAATTGTAATCATGACTTCTATCTGGAATCACCTTTGAATTTGGTTGAAAGCCCAGGCTTCATTATTCATCAATAATATACAAATTCCTTTCCAAGAATTGACAGTAAGTACACAGACTGTGAATCATGCATCTTATATTAAGAGCGAACAAACAAACTGAAAAAAACTCCCCCCAAACCTTCATAATCCTTTGCTATAAAAGGCAGCATAATGCCAAAAATATTAAAAGATAGAATTGCTTCCTTATGAAGCTTTGTTCATTTATAAGTTCATTTATAAACTAAGTTGTTCATAAAACGTTATGGAATATATGATTGAGTTTATGGCAACCTAAAGCAACATGGTTCTTTAATAGATGGTAAGACATACAAACAGTTCCTGAGTTAGGATTTTTCAGCTACACTATGGTGTGAAGAAATACACATTCAGTAGAAACCATACTTTGAATATTTTTCTTTTCTCAGACATGCGACATGTAGGGTAATGTTAATATTCTCTCACGATGCTGGGCAGTGGCAGGGAGCCACGGCTCCCCATCTTCCACACAATCACAAGGGTAAACAGCAGATACGCTTAAACCATTCAGCTCCCGTGCAACCAATCTGTTTTCACTTTCAGTGCAGTATTCAATAAATTGTGGGGAATATTTAACGCTTCATTACAAAGTAGACTTTGCCCAACTATTGACTAACGTAAGTGTGCTGAGCACATTTAAGGGAGCTAAGCTAAGCTATGATGTTTGGTAGGTTTGGTATATTAAACATAGTTTTGACTTAGGATATTTTCAATTTACAATGGGTTTATCAAGATGCAGCCGTACTGTAAGGCAAGGAAGATCTGTACAGAACAACTTTAATCAAGAGAAGATTGAGAAACACCAAAAGAGATAAGGACAAAATCCAATCATTTTGTTAAATAATGCAGAAAAGATGATAAAAATAATAGAGTGCATAGAAGTTTAAGCCATGAAAATATAATCATCATTCTTAAATTATTTTATACCCTTCATGTTCAGATTTAATGACACCTTTTTTTTGTATAAAATTTTGACTGTTATTCACACTGCCATACTTTATAACAAAATATATCACACATACACTATAATTTTGCTTGCTTTTATTATGATACATATGATACACACCATTTTAATTACATGAACTTATGATTTTTGTATGTTTTAGATTTATCAGAGAGTTGCAAAGATACACAGGAAGTTGCCATTTACCTCTTACCCTGTTACCTTGTCTTATTCACATTTTACATCATATACACAATTTAAAGAATACGAATTATTGTTTTTAAAAAATACACATCTGCACATGCATTTCCAAGTTAGGAAAGATAACATTACCAGCATCCCTTTGTCCCTCCATCATTGCATCTCTTCATCTTCCCCAATGAATGGGGCTTTTATCCCTCCCTTCGTGTATTAAGGTGTTCCTAAGTCCCTAGACAATATACTGTGGAAACTTCCATAATAAAATTTCAACTTTAGGGCTTTTATTTAGATAACCAGTTTTAAGTTTACTTAGGCAATATCTCTGTTTATTCAATCATCTTCTCAATTGGTGTCCTTAAGTACTAGAGTATGTTCGATCCTGGCATGAGATTCTACTTATCAGTAAATATAAATATACACCCTGTGAACCCTAGGGCATCCTGACATTTCCGGGGCTGGGAGCACGGGTCCAGAGAAAAGCCGGGGGCCTCCTGCTGCCGCGGTTCTGCCTCCTCCTCCAGGCCTCGTTCCTCCAGGACCTGGTGGAGGAGGGGTCCCTCCCCCTGGAAACCCAAGTAGGTCTTTGGGGTGAGAATTCTGGACTCCGGGAGTGGGCTGAAGGGGAGAAGTTCCACGTGGGCCCATCACCTGACCCTGTGAGGCCTTCCAGTGCTGTGGGCAGAATCACGGCTGGAGGAAGGTTAGAACAGGGCCCCTACAGGGCAGACTGGTTCAGGGGCCCCCGCCTGAGTGGTGCTGGCGGTGGGGGGACCAGCTCCCCGTGGTTTTAACGCTGAATGCCTGCAGTCCTGGGAACAGCCTTTCCACTTCCCACCCTAGAGCTAACCTGACAGGTGGCTAGCTGAAACCTGTCCTGGGCAGACGGGAGTCCCCTTCATTCCTGGGGTCTGTTTTGTCTAGGTGGGCGTCTTTTCTCAGGTAACCAGTTTGTCTTCAAGTAAATAAATAGCCCATGTTCTGAGACACTTCCAATTCATTCTTCTTTGTTTCTCTCTAAATTCAACTGCAAACTCCTCGTCCTCAGCAGTCAGTCTGCCTGTAACCTGGCTTCACTGCCGCCGTGCACAGGGCGGTCTGTCCCCCAGCCTCGGCTGGGTCTGTTTTCTGTGTCAGGCTTGAAGGTGACAATTGGGAGAGCGGGCTGCTCGGGGCTCACAGTGCTCTGCATACACCATGCTGAATACCACGCTCTGCCACCACTGTTTACTCTTTCTCCTTCCTCAAATGTATGCTTTCCAAAAAATTACTGAGGTCAGCTTTTATCTTTTATTTATGAACCATAAATTTTAAGTCTGGGTCCTCCAGATTTAAATGGAGGAAAGTCTACCTTCTGGGAATTCCTCTATGCAGTCTTTGTGCGATGGAATAACTGTGAAGCACACGCTAGAAACTCTAGACTGTGTGCAGAATCCTCACACTCCCGCTTGTATAAATCAGACACTCTCCATCTAGTGAAGGGGCTACACCACCATGAAATCAGACTGGCATCTCACTTCTGGTACATGCAGTGATAATGTATCTGCCATCCTCAGAGGTGCTTAACATGCTGCCTGCTTCTGGTAATGGATCCATCCATTAATTCAGCATGAAGTATTCCCCAGAAATCTTCATATTTTAGAACTTACATCTCAAACCGGTTCAGTGCTGAGCCTGTCTCTGCCGTTGCATTATATTAACCTGTGGATGTCTGTTATCACAGGCTAATGAGGCTAACCTGGGGTGAACCCTTCTTTGTTCTTGAGAATCTCTTGCTTATTAAACAGTGTAGCCAGGAATGTGAAGGGCCTTGTAATATGACCGCTGTGCACTCTGTAACATTCCATGACCTCTCCTTGTGATGGTGAGTTTGCTTAGTTTTGTCCCCTAGAGGCATACTGCACCATTTATTTTATTCTGAAATAGTTTGAAATGTGTCAGGATACACCACCTGGAGAAAAGGAGATTAGCAGAGTTGTTTATATTCCTGGCATATTGTAGTTGCCCCCAAATATTATTGAACTATTATCCTCTCGGTTTTTATGTTAACATTCTTAATTGGTTAATAACTCATCTAGAAAGCACATCCAGATTATGGTAACCGTATCCTGTACCATAGGAGGATTTGAAGCACTGAAATTGAGTATAGAATCATGTATAATATAAATGCTCACGAAGGTTTCATTATCTTTTCTTGCTATACTAAATTTTAAATTTCAGCATCTCCATTACTTAAAGTATAATATTTCACTGTGCCTGATAACAGTTTAAATATGAATCCTGGCCTTTCCTTTGCCAGGTTAAATGTATTTTGTTGGGAAAACAAAGCATTAAGGAGAAATAGCTGTAGTCAAAATATTTAATTATAATGGAAATTCCCAGGTAGAAAACTAGCATGGATTGTACAGGAATTAGCAAGTTGCTGATTCATTTCTTATTCTTTGAAATTGTAATAGTGGTTGACAACCATAACAGCAAAGAAAGATTAATGAAAAATACATAAGTATAATATATGTGTTCATACTCCATAAAATTGTTTATTTCACATGGATAGAGAAATAGTTAGAACATCATTAAACCCCAGACAATAATAGTTAATATTATAGTTCTTTATTATTTAAATAATTAGAAACAGTTCTTAGATAAATGTTAGGAAGAAATCAGTGTAAGTGGAGCATTTTTTTATGCGGCAGAGAATAAATAAAGTCAAATAGTGAAATGTTTTTGACATTAAGCCATTATGATTTATTAAAATGCAAGTATATGTGGCTCTTACATGCAAATGAAAAGTATTTAATTAAATAAATAGTTGTAATTTTATTCCAAGTCATTGTAACTCCTTTTCCAAATAGCCTTCAACAGAAAGGTATTTCACCATTACTAATTTATCTTTTCTCATCTACAATGCACATTTTCATCCTTTAAGCTCCTTTTTTTTTTTTTCTGCATCCCCAAAGACTTAAGTCTCTGGGTTTAAGTTATGCATAATTTAACACTCCTGGCTGACATGTGAGGATCCTGGAGCTGATTTGTGCATTTCTAAAACTGGGATCAAGTCAGTATACTTGCACATGATTATTGAAACAGCAGTCATTTCCTATGAATCCTGTGATATCATAATAAAGAGAAATGCTTTGTATAAATTGTACTTTGTAATTTAGATCTAATGCATAATGACTGCAATGGGCTTTCCTCTCTGTTTTAATTTAATAATCAAATGCCTATTTTCCTGATAAAACTATTTTAGTGAAGATACTGAGTGAGTCCTGATTCACTGTGATGTACCCTGGCCAACTTTGGTTTTGTTTTTATCAGGTTGTCCTGACAGCAGCTTTGGATCCAAATGTAAAAGTCCACTCGGTGGGTTCCAGGGATGCATGAGACTCATCTCCATCCGTCACGAGGTGGTAGATCTGATTTCAGTTCAGCGGGGGGCCCTTGGGAACTTCAGCGACCTTCAGATAGACTCCTGTGGAATCACAGACAGGTAGGGGCAGTCTCCCTTCTTTATGTTGACTTGTCCGTTTTCAGGTTTTTGGCAGAATGTTGAAATTAGTAGATAAAACAAACATTTTCTCTCCTTTTTCTCACCATCACTATCATCTGTTCCACAGGAAATAGATAACATTTACATTAGAAATAAAATATGCTTTTAGTTTTATGCTTCTTATTTCCAGTGATAAAATTTAGGTAGAAGATATGACCATATTATTTATATATACAAATAGCTACCAGTTCCCAAAAGATGATGGTGATGCTGCTATAATTTTAAGGACATATAAATGTATCAAAAATATGATTAAACCCAGTCACTTAGAATACCCTAACAGTAACATAGACCATCAGGGGCCAGTAAACCAGAGACCTACGTGGTTAGTTGTCAGATGCTTTTGCTTCCCTGACAGCTGAATAATATTACAGAGACACAGGAACTTAATTGGTTGCTATCGTCCTAATGCGTACCTTTAAGAACACATTACCTTCTCTGCAGGGAAAATGAAAAGGAAACTCCCCTGTGGAAAAGTTTTGGAGCCATTGTATTGATGAGGGTATAAGGATGATCCAGTAGTTTCAATAGGAATTCCGGTGCAGGCCATGAAGGGCATGACTGGGCAAGATTTGGAAGTTCATTGTAGACGACGTTACTTTTAATTTAGTAGTTGATAGTTTATAGTTTAAAAGTGTTTTTAGGCATGGGCAACTGTAGCCAAATAATCTTGCCACTGATCAGGGAATTTATTTTTAATTATTGAGTTCAATGAAATGTCATGGCAATTCCAGATTAAATAAAAAAAAATAAAGCAATGTGACAGACTTAATCCAGTACGTAGTCATGTTCAGTATATATTTTGAGCAAGTACATTAATTCTGAGTTCTAAAAATAAGTTTTTATTTGTATGAAACATTTTGTCAACATAAACACGCATCTGTTATATCTGAAGACCATTTACTGTGTCATTGTCTGTTGCTCCTGTTTTGAACACTGGTAGATACTATGTTATTTGTAGAAAAAAATCATTATGATCTAACTTAGTAATGTATTAAGACATCATTTCCTCCCTATGAATATGTGCTTATTTAACTCAATTCGTAGATAAAACGGTTCTTTCTATAATGAAAGATAATATGTAAGGGAGAATTGAGATGATAAACTTCAATTGGCTTGATGTGGGGAATAACAGTGACCATCTCCATAGTTAGAGCCACACTAGCTTGGGATCATTAATCCTAATTTGGAGGAAGGCCTATAGCAAGGCACCCTGGGTTGGCTCTCACAGAAGCAGGGAGCTCACCCCCAGTGGGTAATAGTTACCAGGGACCAGTGGGAAGGTTCAGTCATCCAAACTATGCGTGATGGTCATGTTACAATTGGGAAAATCCTGTAAGCAAAACATGAAGTTCCCAATCTTAGTTTTTAAAAAGGAGATGGCAGAAACTTCATCAAGAATATGTTCTTGACAGGTTTTGTAATTTATTTTTTATTCTGGGGTGAATGAGAGCATTTCAAGCCTTGGTCTCATTATAACTTTCCATTTAAATTCTAAAAAGCATCAGTTATTTGATCAGGGTGATTTGAGTTGATACCAGAAGCTCTTTAACTTTTTTTGTCCACGGTGCCTTATGCATTTCAGTGGCTTTTTTCAGTGCTCTAAGTCGAAAGGGACAACTCATGCTTTCATTTAAACAGTCACTTCGTTCCAGGCAACTTTACAACTGTTTATGTCCTAACAATTTAGAAACCTTTTGAAAAAGGAATTTATACATTTATTACTTATATATATGTAAAATTAGAAAAATTTTAACTTTATTTTTAATGTAGTGTACAACCTTTCAAAACTTGGAATCACACATCAAACACTGCTGCCCTTAACCTTTACAACATGATTTCACATGGAGTTACTTTGTGTCAGCTACTGAACAGCCAGCTTCTCAAAGATAAGACATGATTAAAAGGAACCTGTTATGATCTAATGTGGAAATTTTTTTCCCATTTATTTTTATTAGTTGGAGGCTAATTACTTTACAATATTGTAGTGGTTTTTGCCATACATTGACATGAATCAGCCATGGATAATGTGGAAATTTAACTACCTCAAGCTAGTCAGTGGCACAGTGCTTGCCAGATGTTGAGTCTGCCTTATTTCTCTTCAAAATGTAAAATGTCCTGGGAGCGGCTGTGACATTGGTTCAGCACCCTGATGCACCCGGGCCCGCTGCTGGGGCCCACGGTGCATCCTCAGCGTTCCTGGTGGGTGCACCAGAAACAGAGATGGCCCTCCGCCCACTTCCTTCTCTCCTTCCCCCTTCTTTATAGCCTCTTCCTTTAAATGTTCAGCGTAGTAAATCAGTATGATTAAATGTTCTTTTGTGTAAACTATGGATGTTTCTGGCAACAGACTAAATCACTGTTGCGTCTCTTAGGGAAAAGAGAGGGCTATGATATGATAGGACGTATTGAAAATTAACAGTCACAGCTACCTGAGAATTGGCTGAAATCTGATGAACTTAGAGTTCTGTGATTAAGATCCCATAACGACAGACGGAATGACCATTGTGTGTGCTCAGCTGTGCCCGACTCTTTGCGACCCTGGGACTATAGCCAGGCTTCCCTGTCCAAGGGATTCTCCAGGCAAGAATGCTGGAGCAGGTTGCCATTTCCTTCTCCAGGCGATCTTCCCGACCCAGGGATCAAACCCACGACTCCTGCTGTACCACCTGAGAGGCACGGGATGACCATTAGTAACGCTCTATTTACTCTTTAGATTGCTGTTAACATTCTTCTTTCACATGATCAGGTATAATTGACCAGTATTTTGTGATATTTCACGGTGAGTAGTGGTAACTGTATCTGCGCCTCCTTTTAGGTGTTTGCCGAACTATTGTGAACACGGCGGTGAGTGCTCCCAGTCCTGGGACACCTTTCATTGCAACTGTGCAAACACGGGGTACAGGGGAGCGACATGCCACAACTGTAAGCCAAACACTTCTGCCTGCTCGTGCCTCTGTCCCCATTCCCGTTCATGTCCTTTTCTTTGTTGTGTATATGTTTATATGTCCACGGGCGCACAACCCTGAACCTTAGCCTTCAGTTGATTTCCAGTTTATTTTTAATCCACACTTCTTTTCATAAAGTAGTCAAGGTAGCTTATAGAAACACATAAGACAGAAAAGAGTAGGAGAGCCAGCAAGGGGAAAATACATGTAGGAAAAAAAGGTAGCTAAGGATAAACATAAACTACAGTGCCAAATAGGTAATCCCTAACGTCTCTTAGTCACTCAGTCATGTCCAACACTTTGCAACCCCATGGACTGTAGCCTTCCAGGCTCCTCTGTCCATGGGGTTTCCCAGGCAAGAGCACTGGAGTGGGTTGCCATTCCCTTCTCCAGTAGATCTTCCCAACCCAGGGATCAAACCCGCTTCTCCTGTATTGGCAGGTGGATTCTTTACCACTGAGCCACCTGGGAAGCCCTTAAATCCTCTTGCAACTCTGTTAATAAGGATGGTGAAAATGATATTAATCATAATAGTTTCATTGAGTGTTTTCTAAGTGCCAGGCACTGCTCTAGTATTTTATGTCCCAGCTCAGTTCCTTCTGATGACCACCTTAGTAGGTGGGTATTGTTATCATCTCTAGCTCACTAGGTAGCAGAGAGAGATTAATCACCTTGCCCAAAGCTCCTGAAACAGTTGAGACACAGTGAGCATGTGGATGTTTGTGTTATACTGCAGAGGCTGGGACCACAACCAATCTTCTTTTGCTGTTTTAGAAGCTGTGCGTTCTTTTCTGGTGAAAATGTGTGTGTGGTGTCAAGACTCACGTCATTTCTTATCCACTTGTTCAGCAAAAATGCCCATTTTTTTTTCCTTCTCATTTTTTTTCATTATTATTGCTGACTTTGTGAGCAACTTAACTTCTAGTCCTCTGACATGCAGCCGTGACTTCAGGCAAGGGCCTTAGGTGGAGTCCTCAGTCTCCTGTCTCCCTTCTTGTCACTGTGAACTGCTTTATACTCATGCCGGAGCTGAGATTGAAACTCCAGGCTCCCAGCCCTGGAGGCCCCACGAGGGACCCTCAGAAGTCCTGACTCAGAGCTGGAGAGGGCATGAGTTGGGGTGGGGAGCTTCTGGGCTCACCCTCACACCTCCACAATCAACTTGTGTGGACTGGAATGCCTTGTAGGATCAGAAAGGACATCTGCTGTTGCTAAAGCCAGGCCAACTTTCTTACCCTGGATCACCAGTAGCAGAATGACAGTGTATTTTAATTTTTCATACCCGCCATCATCCCAATTACAGCAACTAATTCAAAACACAAAGCTAATTGAATGTGTTTTAACTAATTGTTTATTTTCAACTGTTAGCTGTGACTGAATCTAAATATAAGCACAAACATCTCTGAGCCAAAAAAAATTAGATGATAAATAACTATTCTCATCGCTAGCCCACAACTTGATCCAATCGTTGAATTCATTTATTAGGTTCTTGAGCAGGTAGGAGTCAAAATTTTTTGCCAAAAACCATTCTGATAAATGGGGCCAAGATAACAAACCTGGCTATAATGAAGTCATCACCATCATTAGCTTGAGTAGAGGGCAGGTCAGCAATGGAGTCTTTTAAAAGATTTTACTAGAAAATAATATTTTAAACAGTCATGTTAAAAAGTGAAGTAATACACATAAAGCAAAAGTACTCATGCAGTTGTATGTCCTTTCTAATACCAGCCCTCATGGCAAAGTTATGTGTGCATCCCAGCCTCTTTCAGGCAATTTGTCAACACATGTATGAGTGTACAGAAATATATAAATTAACCCTTTCACATGCCCATTTCACTGCACAAAATACAAATGTGCCTAGAAAACAATCCATCTTATATCTCTCCCTATGTAATATACAATAGGAGCAAAACAGACAAGGAATTGTGGAGGAGTAGAGAAGTAAATTTGTATGTTTATCTGAAATCTCTGTAATGCTAAAAAAACATTAGTTACAGTATTTCGTATTGTCTAAAAACTCATTAACATAGTTTTGAAAAATTTAGACTAGATCAAGGAAGGACATTCAAGGGATGGTTTATTTCTCATTCCACAAAGTTAAAAGCTTGATGGAAATCACCATTACAATTGGCCAAGTGTTCAGTGAAATGAGTGCATCATATAGAGTTGCTAATATGAAACCTTGTACATGGCAAATATATAATTGTAAAATTAAAAATATCCAATTATGGATCAAAACACATTTAGACCAACTGAGGGCATATCTTATATAAGTATTTCTTTTGCTTTGAATTTTAATTATCTTAAATTCTCATTACAGAGCATTAGAAAAAGTTTCTTTTGTAAATTACTTTTTAAATTATTCACAAGAAGCTTTGTAAATCATACTTGTTTTATGGGGAAAAAAGATTTTATCTATAGATTTATGTGAGAAAGGTGGCTAGTTGCAGCATTATTTAAAGCTTTTCTGTTGTTTAATTTTTGGATAACACAGCTTATCTAAGGAGATTACATTATTGTGCTTCAGATGTTAGGTTTTTACAAGGTGATACTAGAATTAGAAACTCCAAAGTGGTTATTGAACGATCCATTTGGATGGATGTCCAAAATGGAGGTCACATTATAAGAATCTTAGCATTTAAAACACCTACCTTCTATTTTGTTGTTTTACCTAATGTAAAAATAAACTAAATTTTCATTTTAAATGAATAATCTTGTATTCCTTTAGTAATAACATGAAATGCCATAAAATACAATCCCATTCTTTCTTTTATCTGTCTAATCTTCTTTCATCCATATTTGTTTAAAAAATGAGTTTTGTCTTAAAGTATGTATTATGTTTTCTCCTGGTCAGTAATGTGCAAACTAAATTTCAAGACTTGGAATATTTTGTGTCCAAACTAACATTTAAGGAATTAATTTTATACTGTTTCACTTATGAGGACACTTTCACTTTTTTTTTTAACAGCTATCTACGAGCAGTCATGTGAAGCCTATAAGCATAAAGGAAATACTTCAGGGTTTTACTACATAGATGCAGATGGAAGTGGTCCCCTTGAACCATTTCTTCTATATTGCAATATGACTGGTGAGTTAATCAACTTTCATTTCAGAGTTAAATTTGCATGAACACTTTAAACACAAAATTAGAATGAAACAATAAGAAGTTGATGTGATTTCCAACTTGATTAAAATGTATATTGTTCAGTAAAAGAACTTAAAGTCAAACTTTAAAAGAATAATTTAATGGTAGTGATTTAAAATGTCATTATTTTCTATGCATGTACTATCTGTGTAGAATATCTAATAATAATTGTATCTTATTAAGTCCCAATCCAAAAAGGATAGACTTTATTCCTCTGAGAAGATTGATACATATGTATGATTTCCCTTGTATGTAGAATCTAGAAGACAAATAAACAAACATAACAAAAGAGTAACAGGCTCCTAGAAACAGAGAACAAACAGGTTATTGTCTGATGGGAGAGGAGTAGGGGGATGAAAAGAGAAAAAATTGTGACCAAGGGTGGTAATGAATGTTAATTAGGTTGTTTATGGTGAGCATTTCATAGTGTGTATTTATATGAAACCATCACATTATATACCTTAAATATACACAATTTTGCCAACATAAATAAAGCTGAAAAATATTTTAAATAATAATAATGAAAGAAAAAAGATTGATGCATATGAAAGCTTTGAAAATATTTTCTTAACTTTGGGTAGGAATGAATTTTATTCCTTACTTATATAAACTTATATAGGAATTAATAGTGTTGGAAAATGTGTTTGATTCAATGCAGCATCCATTCATGATAAAAAGAAAATGAAAGCTCAGTAAATTACCAGTAGAAGGAAGTGTCCTTAATTTGTTAAAGAGGACCCATTAAAAAAACCTACAGTACATATCACAGATTTTTGTGAAGTACTGAAAATTTTACCCCTGTCACCAACATTAATGCAAGGATGCCTGCTATGATCACTCTGTTCACTGTTATTTTTGGAGTTCCTTAGCCAGTGCAAGAAAGCAAGAGAAAAAAGTGAAAGACTTACATACTAGGAAAGAAAAACTATGACTCTCATTGTTTGTAGATGGCCAGGTTATATACTGAGAGTTTTCTGAACAATATACAGAGTATTAAAATTCAGAATGATTGCTAGATATCTGGTTAAGGTAAAAGTTAATTTTATTTCTGTATATCAGCAATAAGTATTTAAAATGAAGTTTTAGAAGATTCTATGTTTAGTAGCATCAAAAATCTAAATACATGGTAATAAATCTAAAGAAAGTTGTGCATAGCTTTTACACAGATAATTGTAAAATACTGTTGAGATAAATTAAGTCCTAAATGGAGAAATATAAAATTTTCATTGATTATAAAACTCAATATGGTGATGTAAATGTCAATTCTTCCCAACTTGGTACTGAGTGCAAACCTTAGTTAAAATTTCAACAGGGTGTTTGTTGGTTGGTATAATTGGGCTTTCCTGGTGCCTCAGATGGTAAAGAATCCACCTGCAATGCAGGAGACCTGGGTTTGATCCCTTGGTTGGAAATATCCCCTGAAGTAGGAAATGGCAACCCACTCCAACATTCTTGCCTGGAGAATTCCATGGACAGAGGAGCCTGGCAGGCTACAGTCCATGGGATCAAACAGTTGGACACAACTAAATGACTAACACTTTCATAATTGTTTTGGTGAAACTTGACAAGCAGACTAAATTTTACCCGCAAATTTGAAGGGGCCAGAAGAACTAAATCAATCTTAAAGAATAAAGTTGGAGGACTCAAGTCTACCAGCTATAATATAGACATTATGCTGATAAATTGAGTAAAACAGCTTGTGATGGACAGAAGGAAAACCAAATAGACCAATGATAAAAGATAGAGAATCTGTAAATAGACTCACTTATATTTGGACAGTTGATTCATTGCAAAGGTAGCATTCATGTACAGTGAAGGAAAGATGGTTTTTTCAACCTGTAGATGCTCAGTCACTTCAGTCGTGTCCGACTCTTTGCGACACTATGTCCTGTAGCCTGCCAGGCTCCTCTGTCCATGGGATTCTCCAGGCAAGAACACTGGAGTGGGCTGCCCTGACCTTCCTAGTGCAGGGGTTAAACCTGCATCTTCTGTGTCTCCTATGTTGCAGGCAGATTCTTTGCCCACTGAGCCACCTGCTGGGTGAAACTGTGTGTAAATACTGTGACAAAGACTTGATCCCTTCATCATCAAACACAAAAGGATTCTAGACGATTTGTGCTCTCCAGTGTAGTAGCCACTAGTTAGATTTACATTTAATTGAAATTAATATAGCTAAACAATTTGAGACAAGTTGTACAAATCTGAATTGATTCATTACAATAAGATTAAATTAAAAACCATTTCCTCAGTCTCACTAGCCACAGTTTAACTACTGCATAGCCACCTATTCCATCATTGCAAAAAGTTTACGTTGGATAACGCTGTGTCAGGAGGTCAGCATTTCATGGAGCAAAATAAACAGAAAAAGGAAATACTGAATTGAAGCAGGAGGCATGGTAGAGGAGGATTTACTACTTAAAATCTGGCAGTGAATATCTAGGGAAAGAGCCTTCCAGGCCGAGGAAATAAATGCCAAGTCCTGAGAGAGTGTTGCGTGTGTGTTCAGAAAACAGCAGCAGACCCAGTGTGGCTGGAGTGTGGTGAGCGAGCTGCAAGTACAGGAAAGCAAGAAATAATCAAGTGGCGGGGGCAGGAGAGGAAGGGTCAGGGGTCCTCACATGGTGTCGGGGCCCTGGTTTTTACCCTGAGTGAGTTCAGAAGACCTTGGAGAGTTTTAAGCAATGGTAGATGCCACCTGGCTTTCTTTAATAGGATCACGTTTGCTCCTGTGTTGGGAAATGCCTGTCTAGGAGCAGGGGTAGAAAAGAGTTAGAAGATATATTCATACAAATATATAATATATATATATACACACACACACACATATATAAATGTAGGTATATATCAAATATGTTTATGCATATGAATAATATGTATATGTATAATAGGAGTATAGGAGTTAGGAAGCCTGTTTGGAGACTGAGTTTAAGTAATTAATAATCCAGGTAAGAGCCAGGAAGATGGTCTGCACTGGATCATACCATGTAGATGGTGGACGGAGATTCAATTTTCTCATTGAATATGTGTGAGGAATGAGAAAACAAAGGGAACCAAAAAATAACACCACATTTTTGGCTTCAGCAATTGGAGTGATTAAGTTGCCATGATCTGAGATGTGGTCAGAGAGGTTTGAGGGGAAAGATGAGCTCAGTTTTATACACTTTGAATTTGAGATGTCTGTTACACATTCATGAAATATTGAGAAGGCAGTTGAATATGGGAGCAACAGTTCCTTTGTATTAAAGTGTAATTCTAAAAGCTGAAGGGTAGTGGCAAATCTTGACCACAGATATCTTGGAAAATTACTATAGAATGTGTCTTTAGAGATGTTTCGTATAACATAACCAGGGGGCTTCAGTTTGCCCTACCATTGTTGAGAATACTGCCTGTTTGGGCAGCTATAGCAGAATACTATAGATCAGATACCTTATAAACAACAGAAATTTATTTCTTACAGCATGGGAAGCCCAAGATCATGGCGCCAGCATTGTCAGATGAGAGCTCTCTTCCAGATTTAAGACTTCTTATACCATCATGTGATGGTGATAGAAGGGGTCCTGCAGGGTCTCTTTTGTAAGAGCACTAATCCCATTCGTGAGAACACCTGCCTCTTGACCTCATGACCTCCCAGAGGTGCCACGTGCTAATCACATTACCTTTGGGGTGAGTGATTCAACATATGAATTTTGGTAGGTTGCACAAACATTCAGACCATAGCACTGCTCCACATGCCAAAGCTAACAGCTAACAGCTAATGATTCTTACATGTTTAGCCCATCAACAAAATTCCCTGCTCTCCACAGTACAGATTCCCAGGCAGCACCCTGAGGCAGGAGGGTTAGGGTGAGACATCAAAATCAGTATTTTTAAAAACCTTCCCATTTGATACTCATTGTGGAGCCAGGTTTGGGCATAGCTGTTTTAGACTTATGGTTTTTAAACTTTAGAGAACAGCCTGCTCTATTTGTAAGAATTAAACATAAATGTGAGAAGACTTAACAGACAGAAAAGGAAAATTTTGCAGATGAACCATACGAATTCAGGTGTCAAATAACTTTTTGATTTTTTTTGTTTAATGTGGGTTTTGAGTGAGATTAAACAAACTGTCACTGCATTCCTGTGAATCCCTGAACTATGCCCGTGCACTTGCTTTATGAAGTTTTGATTCTGCGGTTCAGACACCTCAAAGTTGCTAAGTATCTGTATTCTTGAAAGCTCTTAGAAATACCACACGCACACAAAATTCTCATTATCCATGATAGTTATGTTCTACAAAGTAACCACAGTCACCTGAATTTATGAATACTGGACCATTGTTCCTAGGGAATGGCAGTCAGATTAGGTAACCAGTATTCTTGGGCTTCCCTTGTGGATCAGCTGGTAAAGAATCTGCCTGCAATGTGGGAGACCTGGGTTCGATACCTGGGTTGGCAAGAGCCCCTGGAGAAGGGAAAGACTACCCACTCCAGTATTCTGGCCTGGGGAATTTCATGGACTGTATAGACCATGGGGTAGCAAAGAGTCAGACACGACTGAGTGATTTTCACTTTCAAAGTTCCTACACGCCTCTGGTCACAGTATTCTCAACTGATCAATACATAACCTTGTTTCACTTGCGTTTCAGATTAAAGACACCTTATTTAATGCATACTGTTAATTCATTAACATTGAAATCACAACCAACAGCACCAGACTTCATACCTGAAGGAAGCGTATCTATCCCTTGTGTTCCCAGGAGGCACAACATTGCCTTCTTGTGCTTAGAATCCTGGACAGCACTCTAGCTCTTTGCTTGGAGGCAAATGTAAAGAGTGAAATCAGCGAAGAATATGGGACAAATAGAATACCTGTTTGCAGAATGAGAGCTGAAGCAAGGAGTTACAACCTGGTTCTGTTCAACTTCAGCTGGGCAACTGAAATTCATATTGGGCAACTTCTTTTTT